ATGCTGAGACATTCTGTGTTTGCGAGTTCTCCTGAGCATGGTGTGGAAGCCCAGTCGTGAGAGCTGAACTTCTGCGGGCTCGGATATTCAGGCGATTGCACAAGTCCTGATGCAAAAAGGGTTTAGGACTTCGGGAGAAGAGTGGCGTTTGTCTATCAGAACGTCCAGGTTGCTGCAACATGTTGGTATATATATATATATACATATATATATATATATAGAAAGAAAGTCCATGATTTCTTCGAACCAAGGAGGAGGCAGCAACACGCCTGAAGTCTCACGCTCTCACGCTGTTAACAACAGCTACTGTAGCTTGATTTTTGCCAGTTGAACTACCAGGAATTACTTCTTTAAGTTGGAAAGCATCAAACTGTGCACACTAGTTCTGAGTATCTTTGGCTATTGCTGAACCTCCGAGAGCCAGTGCCCTAACACCACATATAGGCAGTATCTCGTAGTACCGACGACTTTGTCATAAACCCGACCTGCACCCGTAAAACCTAAGCCAGAAAGAAAAAGAGCCCTCGCCTGACCTGCCCAGGCTTGTGGCAGGGAGAGCCTCTCAGGCAGAGACAGCAGCACGTCCGAAGTGGCCAAGGGTTTCGGCTCAACGTCTATAGGTTCTGTAGGGTTTAGGGCCTAGGGTCAGGGACCAAATTAGGATGGATTGCCGATCGGTTCTGTAGGGTCTTTCCTACAGTCTGGGGTCAGGGACCAAGATATCGGTTTCCACGCCAAGGAAGATTTGAAGAGTCCAAAGATGTCCAGAGGCAATGCCTCTTGTTCTCGCGATTAGTTCCAGGCGTGGGCGTGCCCCTTTACCCTGTTTCCCTCTGACGCTAGCCCTTTGGATGAGTATTACCGGCTGAAACCATATGACACAATTTCTACAAGCCTTCAGAACAATGGTCAAGATTCCGAGGCCTCTCTCACATGTGCCACATTTTTTAGTGTTTGGACCGAAAGTTCTTGGCTAAACGGTCCTATGCTGCGGTTTAGGGTTGATACGGCTTAGGCAACCTACTCTGAAATTCCAGGCAAAGTGTGCATACACGCCCATAACCCAGAATGCCCCTAAACTTCTCTTCACTGCGCATTTAAACCTTGACCGTCTTCGTGATTCTTCGAGAGAAGCGGCACGAAAGCCGCCATTCTTAGTCTCATTTGCGGGCATGCGCGCACGCGGGCATAGGCCAGGCCAGGCTAGTCGCAAGCAGTGGGGCTCCCTCTGGTGCTAAGTTGATGCTCTTCAAACCTCAATCGCAAGCAGTGTCTCCCTAACACATGAAGTGAATGTGCAACCTACGGATGGCGGCCTGGTATATGAGTGTACTTCGAGACACTGGCCCGAAAAGCGGGAACGTCGCTGAGACAGTGAAAGCGCTTGTTGTTTTGTTGATGCTATAGTGAATCCCAGAAAGTTGGAACAGGGATTTAGGATACTTAGTGCTGGGGTCCCCTACACTTTATCGTAAGGGCGTGCGGGTACTGATGGCTTTTACTTTATGGGATTCTTTGGGCGGGTGCGTGTTTTTCCACGACACTGCTGGCCTTGTGACTTAGGCTTAGTGGATTTCTTAGCCGAGCTACTCGTAAGCTCTATAAGTGAGTGCTGAAACCCTCAACACCCTGTAAACCCTAACCCGTGAACGCAAGGCCTAAACCCTAAACCCGAGTGTGAGCGCTGAAACCCTAAACCCTAAAGGTACACCCTGCACACCCTTAACTCCTAAACCCTAAACCCTAAAGGTACACCCTGCACACCCTAAACTCCTAAACCCTAAACCCCAAAGGTATTTCGGGCCGCACTGCACGGCCAGTCCTTCCACGCCGAGCCTCATTGTGGCTGGGCGCTCCTGGGCCTCCGACAAAGTTGCTCGGTTGAATGCAACATTCAGCAAAGTTCACGGCTTAGGTTCTACTAGGGCTCAGAGCAAACGTAGGTTTAGGGTTTAGGATTTAGGGTTTGCTAATTAGTGCATTGCAGTCCCTGCTCAAAAAAGGATTGAGAGAGGGTTCTATAGGATTCAGGGCTCACCAAACATAGCGCAGTCAAGCGGAGCTTGCTCTTTGCAAGTATGAAGCACGACAACCAGAAGGTAGTAGTCGTCGTCGTTGTCGTCGCCGTATTGGTCGTCGCACTAGTAGCAGTACTAGGAGTACCTCGGTGGATCCTAGCCATGCAGCAACCTGTCCGCAAAATGGTACTGAGATCCAGGGTCCAGGTATCACCTGTAGGAGCCACACCAGCCCAATCTGCAAACCGTAAACCCTCGAACCCTACACCCTGCGACCCTAACCCTCAAGACCTAAGCCCTTGAACATTGGCCCTTGTGTGGCAACAATAAACCCCAAAATGAACATTCGTCCCACTGAATCTACTAGCCGAGGCCTTCAAGCCCAGGGCGGGCACGAGGATGAGATCAAGGAGCTCCCTTTACTAGACCATACTAGACCCCATAAATTCAGGGTTTAGGGTTTTAGGGTTTGGGGTTTTAGGGTTCGGTACCTAGTATTCGGAACCATATACCGCCGTTCGAGGCTGCAAGGAGGGTCCTGCGCCTTCCCACGTTGATTCGGCTTAGGTTTTATAGGGATTTAGGGTTGGGTGTCTTGGGTCGACGTATGGTGGTTCAAATTTAGGGCTTCAGGGTTTAGGAGAATATCTCGCTGCAGACATGAGGGTCGGTAAGATGTACATCAAACATCGACTGCTTCTAAGTATCCATAGGTCTCGTAATGCTCTACCACCCGGTTTGCGTGTGTTTTTGTTTAGCAGCTACCGAGGTTTCCCCGCAAAGCTCGCATCCTCCCGACTCCTACCGGGCAGCTTGTTTTCTGCTTAGGCTTGCGGGTAGCAGTGCGGTCTGCGAGCCCTTGTTTAGGGTTTTCGGTTTAGGGTTTAGGCCCCCTAAACCCTAAACCCTAAACTATGACACCCCCTCCCATCCAGGCCTTGCGACGCGAGATCCAAGCTGTTTGGAAATGGTCTGATGTGCCATTGAGGAGCTGCGTCGTTCGCTTTGGCGTTCAGGGTTAAGGCTTTAGGGTTTGGTCCATTTCGGAAACCCTGAGCCCTAAACTTTTGAACCCTAGACCCTAAACTTTTAAACCCTAAACCCTAACCCCTAAGCCCTAAACTTTTAAACCCTAAACTTTACCCTAAACCCTAAACCCCTAAACCCTCAAGGCGGGTTTAGAGTTTAGGGGTTTAGGGTTTTAGGGTTTAGGGTTTAGGGCACAAAGTTTGCGTTCGGGCTCAAAAGGTTCAGGACTCATAACTTCGATGCTAGTTCGAGCTCCATGTCGTCTACAATCTACGAACCCTAAATCCTCAACCCGGCTCATGTGTAAGATTGTGTCGTCTCTCGGAGTACAGCGTCCTGAAGAATTAAATCCTTCGCCGCAGCCTACGTTCTTGACTTCGAAGCGTCCACACCAAATCCCTTAAGCTCAAGACACTGAGACTCTGTCCCTAAGGTTGAAAACGCTACAGCCGAGGCACATAGTAGTAGCCCACCGAACGCCCCTCAAGCCTTCCAGACCTTGCTGAGACCAAGCAGCGCAGGACTCCGTCCCTAAACCCTAAACCCTAAACGCAGGACTCCGTGCGCACAGATGGACATTGGTCCGATGAAGTCTTTGCCCATACTGCTCTGAACGAGTTTCCGGTTTAGACTTCAGGCTGGCTTGTGTTTTTTTGGGGTGTTTTTGGTTTGCAAGTTTAGGGTTTAGAGCTTTAGAGTTTGAAGTTTACAGTTTCTAGTTTAGCATTCAGGTTTCGGCGTTTAGAGTTTAGGGCGCCTGAGTGCCCTGGAGAGAGAGAGAGTGTGGGTGCAATGCCCTTCTCTTGACTGTGTGGAAGAAGAGAGAGTGTGTGTGCGTGTGTGCGTGTGTGTGTGTGCGTGTGTGTGTGTGTGCGCGTGTGTGTGTTTGGGGTGTAAGGCTTTTACATCTCAAACACGGATGAACGGCTTTCTTTCGTTCCAGAGGTTCCAAAATCCTCCAATGAAGAAGGAAGGCGAGTGAAGGAATCCCGCAACGTAAGAGCTCAGACTACCTAAGGTATGAAACCAATCAGAATCATGACCCTACCAGAGAAACGCTGCAAACCCGATAATCCGATAAGCACTATACAGTCTATACACCCTATGAGCCCTGAAGCTGCAACTTGCCTTCAGCAAGGGGGTTTTGTGCCCTTCGCATCGGAAGCATCAGGCCGCAAAGCTCCGTCCCATTTGGGAGTTTCCGAAAATTGGGGGTACCTTATTTTGGGGTCCTTATAATAGGGATCCTACTATAGGTTACTATATACATTAGGGTCCCCTATTTTCGGAAACCCCCATTTGTTTTTGAACAGTCACTCCATGGCTAGGTGGGTCCTGGTACTTCTCGACGTAGATTTCTTACATCGGAAGCGAAAGAGGTAACCAGCCTTTTCGAGTCGTGCTGGAGCAAAACTGCACCCTAAACCCAAACTGCACCGTCTCCGGTCAGATAGAAGCATTGAGATCTCTTGCGGGATTCTCTTTGGCCATGGCCACAGATATGCCCTGATCTCGTACACAGAGCTTCAGCCATAAAGCCTCGGATGTTCGGTTTGGGGTTTACAGGTTGAGATCTCCGTTTTTAGGGTTTAGGAATTTTACGCTAGACTCGAGCCCAGTAACAAAAAGGAATCTATAGAGTAGCCTGCGACGTTCTGGGTTCGGACCTGGGAGCTTTCCCTTAAATGCCATCCTTTTATCGGCAGCAAGTTCTCCAGGGCTGCAAGTGTTGGGTTGAATTAAGCATGTCCTCGTCGTCCTTTTGCGGCTCTCTGATGACTTCCCTGCACAGAGTTGTGAAAGCCGCCCACATGTATAGACAGACCAGAGATGGCTTTAAACCCGAGTTGAGACTTGCTCAGCATCGTCCACAGTTTTAAAAAGGCCGCGCGATGTTCACAAGTGCGTGCACCGTATGCGTGGGACTCATATAATATAAGTCGTGGGAAGTGTCTATCCCCCAACACCCTGAAGCATAAGCCCTAAACCTTAAACCCTAAACCCTTCAATCCTAAACCCGAGTTTGGGTTTGAGGTAGTTTGTTTAGGGTTCAGGGTTTGAGGTATGTGGGGGTCCTGAGATTTCAGGAACTGCTGCACTTCACTACGGCTCCCAAACCCTAAGCCCTATTATCGGGATGAGGGTAAGGAGCTTAGGGTTCAGGGTTGCTACAGGTCTAAGGTTCAGGTCTTCCACAGTTGTCGGATATGTTGGCCCCTAAACCCGCAAACACGAGACCCTCGCCACTAATATAGAAGCCTACACCCTAAACCCTAAACCCTAAATAGTTACCAATATCCTTCCTGAAGGTTCCTCCTTATAGTTCTGCTACAGAGGAGGCCCAACCCGGGTACTAGTGATGAAAGCTCCTACATATGTGTAGTTCTCTAAATTAGGGTCCCTTTTGGGAACCTTCTTATACCCTTTTTGATAAGGGTGCCGTACCATATTGGGGACCTAAGAAGGGACCCTCATTTCGAGAGCTACCCATATGATGATATGTGGGCCCCTAAACCCTAAACCCTAAACCCCTAAACCCTAAACCCAAAACCCTAAACCCTAAACCCTAAACCCTAAACCCTATGTGGGCTCACGGCCCAGATGACTGGCTACTGGCCCTTGATGGAGATCCGCAGCCTCTGCGGAAGTGGCTGCTGTTGCAGCCTGATCATTTCAGGACCTCTTCTGGGGTGGACTCCGGTGGGACTTAGCGAGCTTTCCTAGGTTTTTCGGAGGCATGCTTTAGGGTTTAGGAGTTTAGGGTTTAGGGTGTGGGGTACTGAGAGTTTTCGATTCTTTCAGGTCTGTCGCAGCCTTGCCTGCAGTCTGAAAAACGAGATCGAGTTGTCAAGGTAGTCTAGTGGCCTCAATAGGTAGAATAATAGGTTTGGGGGAGTATATTATACTATGACTATAGTAAGGAAACTATAGTAAGATTATTAAGGGCCCCTAAACCTATTAAGGGCCCCTAAACCCTAAACCCTTATAGTAGCCCTTATAGAACCCTTTAAGAAACCCGTTACAGGAACCTCCAAAAGCCTATTCTAATTATTATGGAGTTCACCACACCACCCACCCCCAAAGCCTAAGCCTGCTTTTTGAAGCCATAAACCCATGACGTTAGCAGGTCAGAATGGGGGCCTAAATAACTACCAATACTATTTTTGGGGTTTCTTTGGATAAATATAGTAAAATGGGCCCTAAAACCCTATTCTAAGCATTAAGGCATTAAGGCCCCTATAGTAGCCTCCGAGACGGAAGTGTTGCGAGGATCGGGCATTACTTTGCAGCTCTTGTGGAGTTCTGGCTCCGTGAGTGCGCCCCTTCTGCAGGTTTCAGGTGCGGTTTAGGGTTTAGGGTGTTATACTATGTTTCCAATTCTCGCAGCTGTATTTTGTACTGTCACTAACACAACCTGCTGCGACCACTGGCGTTAAGGAATCATTCATGCTGCTGTTTCTGCGGCTGCTGCCTGTGCATTTCTACTGCTGTGACAACTGCTGCAGGCACTGCCACTGCAAGTGCTGCTGCCACTGTGACTTGATTGTTACTGCTGCTGCTCCATGTCGACAACGACCGCGACGGCAAGGACATGTTACTCACCGTGTACGACTTACTTCATACTGTTTGCTACGACTTGTTTGCTTGCTTGCTAATTTGCACCGATCACGCTCCCAACGACCACACTTTCATCACACTTCATGCCTTACTGCCATAATCCGCTTTATTGCCACTGCCATCGCTGTGATTGCGACAACTTTGGCTGGCCATGCTTCTTCATAGACTCCTTTGTCCTTCCAGCAGCAGTGCTGCTGCTGCTTCGCCTGCTCCACCGCACTAGAGTTTAGGGTTTAGGTGCCACTGCTCCTACTTCGACCCTCGCTGCTACTTCTGCTCCAACTACCACTGACGGCAACGACGGCAAGGAGGTTGCCGACTGACATAACTATTGTGTCGGGTTTTGCTTTCTTTTAAGTCGTCATTGGTTGAGTTGAGTTGTTGGCTATGTTTTGGCAACACGACGGAGCTGCAAAAACAACTGGGTACTGCCGCACTTGCAGTCTGCATCCTAGTCATGGGCATGCAATCCATACTGTGTCCAGGGCTGCCACCACTCTTGTTATGATTCCTATCGTTGTTTTGTTCATAACCCCGATGTTGCATTGCCTTCTGCTTGGACAGAACCAACACTACATAAGATTGGTAGAATCATGTTGTGTTGATGTTTCAATCAGTTTTTGTTGCGTGTGTCAGAGTGCTGCCGGCGAGTCTGTCATGAACCGTCGTGAGGCCCCACCCGGCATTCCGGGTTATGCCTGTTTGCACCCTCTGCCTGAAGTTTCATGGTAAGTCGTAATCTAACCCTCAACTTACCCGAAACCCTATAAGCCCTTAGGCCCTAGCCCTAACCCGTACATCGCAAGTCCTCCGATCCTTGCCACTTGGAGTACTCGCGTCGCAGCTCAGGCCCTGCATTGCGCAGCCGCCGTGTGCTGGCGCGCCAGCACGTCGACGTAGCCGAGCAGAGCAACCAGCTGAAGCCAGTTGACAGCAAAGATGAGGAGGGTGGGCTTTGGAGACATGCTGGACACGCCAGCTTCCCAAAAAACCCTAAAACTCCTAAGCCCTAAATCCCTAAACCCAAGCCGCTTCATCGTCGCATCAGAAGGTTTGCTGCGAACTGCGAAGTTGCGGATGCAATGCCGTATTCCAGCAAGGAGCCTCACAGGATAATGTCGTGGGACTGTGGAGATTTGGAGATCCTTGCAGGTCCTTTGGGTTTGGGATTGGGAGTATGGGGCTTAGAGGTTCGGGGTTTTGACCTTTGGGGTTTTAGGGCTTTGAGTTTTCGGGGCTCAGGTCTAGGGTTTAGAATTAAAGCGTAGTTAGGGCTTGGGCTGAGTATTCACGGCTGGTTGTGATTGTTACCCCAAACCCTAAACCTTTAACCGGATCGCTGTGGAAAGGTTTCTGGCCGACTTGGACCCGGTGGTCAAAGCACCTTGATGTCATGGCACTATAGATAGGATGGTTTTGGTGCGCATTTTATGCCCGTTTATGTTAAGGACCGTTCCTTTTAAGGATTTATGTTGGTAATTGTTCGGCCCTATATACTCTATCTGTCCATCTAACTATCATCTACCCACTCACCTACCTACCTACCTATCTATTTGTTTGTCTATCTGTTTGTCTATCTTATATGTATATATATATATGTATCTTAAGGACTTGTATTAGAAAATGTTCGGGCCCGATCTACTATAATTGGCAGCTTTGGCTTCGTAGTTCCAGAAGAAACGACGTGAGGCTTTCTTTTAACGGTTGAGTTTCAGAGCATTGGGCTTAGAGTTTAGGGTGTAGGGTTCAGGGTATAGGGTTCAGAGAGGATGTTGACGATTATATTTTGTGTAGCTTTTCAGCTAGACCTGCGCAGCATGTTCAACGTGCTTGCAGATGTGCGTGATGGTGCCAGTGCCTGTGTGTTGACACATGCACAAACTTTGCACCTAGCTTCCAGGGGCTGCTTTCAGTCAGAGCCGGTGACAGCCGATGCCAAGGATGCCACCTATGTCGTCATGTGGCACGAAGGGTGGGGAAAAGTCAAGGGCGAGTCGTTTGATGACTTCGACCTCGCCTGCAAGCGGTTTGAAGCCTTCGAGGGCGGGCGCTTCGCTGCTATTCTGGTGGACGGCCGCTTTAGGGAGCTGCGCTACTATGGGACCCGAGGCAGGTGGATGCAATTTGCCTGGATTTCTGAAACTTGATATGCGAAGCATTCCAGCATTCGTCCGTCGCATGGGACATGGGGAAAATTCATCAGACATGCATGTGGTCCTGAGTGGCAACCTATGTTATGCCAGCTCACCCCAGTAGCGACAGCGATATCAGCAACATCCCGGTCAGTCGAAAGCAACAGCAACAACAGCAGCAGCAATAACCACGAAGCCCCCGTCAACAGCAGAAGCAAGCAACAAACGGCACCAGAAGCAAGCACAAACGGCACCAGCAACGGCCAACGACGGCAACAACAGCTAAGCCGGAAGCGACAGCAAGTTGAACTACCGGGACCGTTTGAGTGCATAACCCAACATACGAGAGCGCACGTGCAGCACAAGTTGACAACAAGGACGACGGCGACAACTATTGATGCCGCACGCACGAAAAAAAGGCTCATAGAAGCGACTCCTAGAGTAGTGTTCCCAAGAAGCTGTCGCACAACAGAACACTGGGATAGTAGAGTTGCAGCGCTTGACAGCCAAATGTGTATTTAGTGTCTTAACTTGCCGGTACATCGGGTCATGCTATCAAGACTTCGATAGGAGTGGTCATGACAGATTACAAATTCGAGTCACGTAGATACGATTCGGATGTCTGGGACACTGACCCGTGCAATGCCAATGAGGACATGATCAGTATCTAGACTCCTAGACCTGGACCTCGACACTAGCATCACTAAACTGTAGTCTTCTTATGGTTGTAGACTATTTGGTTACGATCCTGAAAGAAGAAGTTGTGATAGCAACCCCACCCCCCCCACCCNNAAAAAAAAAAAAAAAAAAAAAGTGTTACAGTACAGGCTGGGTCCTAGTAGGTCGGGCAGCCAGATCACCCCTCTCCTTCGGCACAGGTGATGTGGCGAAAGAGTTTTCCAAGTTCTGGAGCGAGAATTACCAGGCGTGTTGACCAAGGTCCACAATCATGAAGCCCCCTACCATGGCTCCTGTCACTGCTTTTTTCTTCAAGTGACTACTTCATGTCACGCCCCTCCGAGCTCAGAGACTCGAAACCAGGTCATGTTGGCGTCTCTTCGGCTCGTTGGTGTCAGGGTGAAGAGCAAGGAGTCTAGGAAACCTGACGACCGAGCAACCCTAAACCTTAAGCCCCCAAACCCTTAACCCCCAACCCCTAAACCTTAAGCCCCAAACCCTACACCCCTAAACCATAAAACCCCAAACCCTACACCCCGAAACCCTAAACCCTAAACCTCAAAACTCCAGACCTAAACCCCTAAACCTTAAAACCCCAAACCCTAAACCCCTAAACCCTAAAGGCCGAGCACGAAGATACCGAAGCAGAGCCCCCGACCTCAAAGCAGATGGGCCGTTCGACTGGCGTAGGGCAAAGTCCTTCCCCCCGAACCCTCAGAATATGTGCATACATATATGTATATATACACATAACTATTATCACTATAACTTTATAATATCTAACAATACATCATCTAACTATATCCTTAAGTTGTATAATATCTGTAAGAATATTTGAGAAAAATAGAATGCCTCCTTTGTCGACCTCTGCAGGGTCTCGGCGCCTTACACCTGGAAGCTGCCTTCCACCTCAGTGCCTCGGGCTCTTAGTAGAAAGGCAAAGGGGTTTTTGAGGTGTACTACAGGGGCCTTAATGATTACCTATACTATTTTGGGATGCCTTGTTTGACATGTAGTATAATCTACCCCCGAACCCTAGTCGAATTATTACGGCCCCTACATTACTACACCGACTTTGTTGTAAGGCTTGGAATGCTTAGAACAAGGGGTCTTTGGGATGTATTATACGGTGGGTGTATGCGGACTAAAATGAAGTAAGGGGATCCGATCTTGTTACTTGTGTTTAGGGTAGGCTGCCCGTGAAGGTCGCTGTTTGATGCTGTTTGATGGAGGTTTGGCAGGCTCAGCAGCAGGTTCAGCCATCCGTGCGTTCGGGTAATGTAAAAGCCTAAATAACTACCACTGATTTCCTTTGGGGTTCCTCATTCTGACTAATTATCGTATAAGATACACCATACCCCATTTTAGTCAGTCAGGCCTACAGGGCCTACATGTTATGACGCGTGACGTTGTGATCGGGCTCCGTTTGTTTGTGGCCGGTTGAGCATCGTGTGAGGATCCTGGAGCGCTCACGACATTGAATCGCAGAGCATGTTCAGAACAATGTAGCACCTCTATAGGTTTATGACGATGTATGGGTGTGTGTGTGTGTGTGTGCGCGCATGCCATATGCACATGCTTTCGTTTGTGTATTGTCTTGTACATGCATTGCCAGACCTTGGAGTGCCGTTTTGGGAACTGGGTGTGAAAACAGTGGTTTCACCTGTATTGCTTGCAGGATCAATACTGTCTGGGGGGTTCCTGATTATAGCTATAGTTTACTGGGCCCCAAAACCCTATTCTAATGATTAAGGCCCCTATATTACTCAGATGCAGCATGTAGTCGCAGTAGCAGGAGCAGTAGCGGCAGCTGTAGTTGTAGTCCCCTGTGGAGGCGTCGCAGTAGTGTTCACTGTTAGCCATAGACCTCCAGCATGTCAATCATGCACATGCTGTTGTAGGCACATATTGCCAGAGGAGTGGTGATGAAGGGCGCGACGTCCTGGTTCCTCGAAATTTGACAACCCCTAGGACCCTGAACCCTTTTTTGAACCCTCAAGCCGTCTCAAACTGCCAAGGAGCCCTTATAGAAACCCTCAAAAGCCAAAGCCTATTGAAGCCCCTTTGGTCCCTAGAACCTAAGAGCCCTTATAGAATCCCTACAAAGCTCAATAAAACACAAAAAGGCGCCGAATCTGTGGAGCCCTCTTGAAGCCAGGCTTGGCGAGGGGGCCAAGGGAGGTCGACGTGCTTGGCTCTCGCTTCTCCGGAGGCCTTGGCGATCTTAGCGAGTACAATCGAAGCTGAGGGTTTAGGGCTTTGGGGTTTAGGGATCAAGTCCTAAACCCTTAGTGTGTAGGATCTGCGTAGCACCGTACATCCTAAACCTTAGCAGCTTTAGAGGTGTGTGTGTGTGTGAAGTCTTTACAGCACTAAGAGTTGTGGAAAAGCGGCATGGGGCAAGCCTGGGATTTTGGTTTTCTTGAGTTTTGGGGTATTTGGTTTTTAGTGGTCTGCGTGAAGAGTGCGTAAATTTCTGGGGATCCATGAAGCCTCGACCAGACAGGAGGTGTGTAGCAGTGTAGAAGGAGTCTATTGGTTATAGTGTCTTGCTAATTCCTTACTGCATGCCTTCGGACACCCCATCTTCTGATCCTCCGAAGATGTATATTGTTATTTTTGGGTGAGACCCTAAAGCCTAAACCCTAACCGAGATCCTTGAGTTAGGAGTGATACTCCTTAACCTCAGACCTGTGGCGCACATAGTAAAAGCGTATACTACGCACGTCTTTTTGTTCGGGCGGCTTTGTGCACCTATCTAGACACAGCCCAAACACCGAGAGAGCACGAGGAACTCTCGAGAATTTTTGTCAGCCCATAGAGAGCCCTATACTACCTCAACCTGTTTAAACTTTTAAGCCCCGTATGTAGAATCCTGTAAGATCGTCAGCCCATATATAGTGCTCCACACAATCCCAGACGCTAGCCCCATATGCCAGTTCACAGATCCCGCTGCAAAAAAAAACAGTCAGACCCTATGCCGGACCCTTGACTCTGGCCCTACCTATAGTCTCCATTGTAGTTCCTTTTTTTTGGTTTAACCAATGATATATTAGGAATTTATAAGGTATCCCCAAAAAGGAACTACAATGGAGACTATAGGTAGGCTCCAAACCCTCTACAGCCCATGAGACCCTGTAGCCCTTAACCCTACACCGTTGTAGGCTAAAGAGCCCTATGCAGCCCCATGCGTGTACAATCCTGTAGAACCCTGCAGCCCCAAACCCTAAAACCTGATCCCTAAACCCTATATTCTAATCCCTAAACCCTAAACCCTATAGATCCCTGGAGGTTTCTTGCACGAGTCGCTGTGTTGGCGGATCTTAGAGGCAAGTGCATCGGCTGCATACGCGGAGTCTTGGGTGGTTTAGGGTTCAGGGTTTAGGATTTAGGGCTTGGGGTTTAGGGTTTAGTGTTTATGGGTTGAGTTATGGTTGGGGGTGTCTACAGGGTTGCTCTGTCTGGAGTTTAATGAGGGAAATGGGGTTTGATACAGCTCAATTGCAGCTTTTCAGGATTCCAAAACGGATAATTATAGTGTCTATACGCCTTAACAGTTCAGGGTTTTCTAAGACTTTCCTGGACCCTTAATAACCTACCTTATGCTTATATGAGGACATCATAATAAGGAACCCTAAAAAGGTAGGTTCTTGAGGGTCCAGGTAATGTAGGGCCCTATTTAATTACTTATACTATGTTGGGGGTTCCTTATTATCATTATAGTATAATATGCCCCAAAACCCTATTGTCATTGTTAAGGCCCCTAAACCCTAAGCCCTTATGGTAGCCCTTATAGAACTCTTTCAGGAACCCTGTAAAGGAACCCCCCCCCACACAAAAAAAAATAAAAAATAAAAAACTATTCTCATTATTAAGGTCCTACATCGTTAAACGATTTGGGGGACCATGGGTTCCAGCGTATGGTCACGAGGGTTTGGGGTTCAGGGTTTAGGGTGTAAGGTTTAGGGTGTAGGGTTCAGGGTTTAGGGATCATCAGTTCGTCAGCTCATTCAACAGCGTATCCGACAGATTAGCTCGTAAGACCATGAGGATTGTGCGTACTTAGCCTTGGACATTGGCCGGGCGAGCTCCAATCAAGCCTGTGTAAAAGGGTGTAGGGTTCAGGGTTTAGGGTTTAGGGGTTTAGTTGAGCGCTTAACCTGTGGAGAACATGCTGTCCAAGTCGAGTCGACTATCCACGCGATAAAACATGTTCATGGCAACGTGTCCCAGCCATGCAGCCTGAACATGGAGTCGAGAAGTTGGATTGCAGTTCGAAGTTGAAACTTGTGCATTTGTTCGCTTCGTGTCTGACAGCCGCCGAGAGCGGTTCAGGCTTCTGTGTCCCGTGCATGATTGTTGACATTCGCCGCAAGAGAGATTCGTTGGCACTGACTGTGTGGACTCCTAAACCACCCAGAGAGCCCAATACCCCATAATTGTGGAATATACCTTGAACCATAGTTTTAAAGTCCCCGTAATTTCCGGTCTATATCCAATTCTGGGGTATAGGGCTCTCTGGGCAAGCCTTGAAATAGATCCTGAACCCTAGATCCCTGATCGGAAAGCTCGACCGAAAGCCAGAAAGTACACGCACAAACAAAGTCTCTGAACTGCTGAACCCCCCAAACCCGGAAACGTAACCCCTAAACGCCAAAGCCAAGCAGAACACGATGGAGCCCTCAAGGGAACCCCTACCCTAAACCCTAAACCGTAAAGGAAGCCTTTAAAGGAACCCTTAAAGAAGAGCCCTTCGGGAAGCCCAAAAGGAAGCCTTCGTAGGAAGCCTTAAACCCAGAGAGCCCAATACCCCTTAATTAAGTAATATAGCTTAAACCACAATATTAAGGCCCCAATAATTTAAGGTATATATTCCTTAATTTATGGTATATTCCTTAATTAAAGGTATATTCCTTAATTTAAGGGGTCTTGGGCTCTCTGGGTGAAGGAGTCGAAGTTCCAAGGAATACGTGTCCGCTTGGCTCGACGGCCGGAGGTGGTCAAGGAGCTCGAGGACATGCTCCCCGATCGGATTATTCATGACTTATGATATTTATATTTTGAAATTATTTTTATCACTATCATTGTATTGTTATTATGATTGTTAAATTAGTATGTTTATTTATTTTGTGTTATTACTATTATCATTATTATAACCTTTATAGCATGATTGTTTATTATCATCAACTATATAATGGTCGATTGTTACACGGTTTAGAGGGGGTTCAGGGCCGCTGGAAACGGGCTTCTAAATGAGCGATTAGGGTTTAGGGCCACTGGAGTGGGGTTTCTAAACCCAAAGCCACCCAAAGCCCACCTTTCTGAAGGCAATTGCATTTCATAGTTGTAAAGAGATTGTGCTAAGGAGCCCTAAAACGGTTGGTGCGGCGGTTGAGGTACGGTAAACCTTAATCCCCTATACACCTTATTACCTTGAACAGTGCTAAGATCTGCGCACCTTTGGCAGGTCTGGCCTTGAAACATGATATAAGTCATACATTTGCGTAGCATGGTACTGGGGCACTGTGGATAGAAGGGTAGAGGGATCCACTGTGGCGGGCTCCCTTGTGCAAGGAAAGAATCCGATAGGGATCTTGCGCTTTGGTACTCACATGGAAGATGTGAGTGTGTACCGGAGATAGGCCATGCGATGTTGCTTCGTTGCAAATCCTGTCTTGGCTGCGGCATTCAAGCACTGAGAGTGAGAACCACGAGGCAAGGAGCTCGCGGAGATGTAGTTCTCTTGATCACGCAGCATGCCAAATACAGTAGCCAGTCCAGATGCTGGCATTGCACGCCTCTGCTCCACCAACCGGCAAGAGTCATTGATTCTGAGGCAGACATGAAGCGGCTCGTCTCACCGTTGAAAAGCGCAGTCCACCCTGTCGACCGGTGTTTTCAGACAAGCTGACCCGTTGTTACTACCATCGGTGTTACTGATATTGCATTCTGACGATGCCTCTAGTAACTCTAGTAGTGATGATGATGATGATCGGGATCATGACAATCACCGCAAACGAGTCTTGTTGTTCGTTGCCTTCGGTGTGAAAGATGCGCCTCCATCGTCAAATCCCAAGCCAACGTCCGCTGCAGACAAAAAGGGTGCAAGCTTGAGTCTCGTGCTAGAAACTTGAGGCCGCATGCACTTATCATCCCGATACTCATCTATAAAATGTTGTACTCCGGAACCCTTTCTAATCTTTAAGGTGTATATAGCACCGCAAGCCATGTCCCAGCGCATCACCGCTCGCAGTCTTACCATGACCATGGTTGGTTTACGCTTTCCTTCGCAAGGCCGTTGACCCAGCCCTTCAACCTGACTGAAATTAAAAAAAGACTACGGGCTCGATCTGCAGGTGTTATGTTCCCGAAGTATCCCGAAGAGCTCGGACTCCCCACAGCTTGCAGGAAGAGTGTAAGTGGGGCTGTGGAGTGGAGGTTTTTTTGGCCGGTGAGTTCAGGATCGAATCACTATGCGCGCTGCATCTTCGCACCGCCACCCTCAAATACAAAAGCACGAGAGCGAATATCATTGGAATTTTCGCAGCCACAGCCCCTATTTGAAGCCTGAAGAACCTACCTTGTTTTTAGGGTTCCTCATCATGATTTCCTTACATAAGTCATTGAAAAGGGATGTTATTTAGGGTCCAGGGGAAACCCTAAACCCCAAGGCTCGGTGCTAGCCCTTCGTCGCGCTTCCTCTTGCGCGGCTGCATTTTCTACGAGGTTGGCCGGTGCGCCTGCCATGGGTGCAGATTTTCGTGCGCAGCCTTCTTAATAGAGGGGACACTACAGGCCTTAAGGCTTCATTCGAACTGCAAGTATGTTTTTTGGGGGTGTTTTGGGGTTCCTTATTGTAGGTATAGTAGAACGGTATAACCGCAAAGTTCTATTCTAAGTGTCAAGGATTTCTCCGTAACTCTATTCCTTGCTCCAGCCTCGAGCGGACCTCGGCTAAACCCTATACCCGCAGCGGAGTGGAGACACGATCATCTTCCAAGGCACACCACATACCGAAGAGCTTGCGTGGCCTACGTGGCTTGTTTGTTGGGTGCTTTTTAGGATCCTAGCCATCCCAACAAAGTGCTAGACACGGCCTAGGGTCCAGGTATGTTGTAATTGTTTGTTTTCGGTGAGGCCGGAGGGGGGGGGGGAAGGTGTTTTTAACTTGAGGATCCACTTTGAGGGTGTCCTTATGGGTAGTTCTCTAAATTAGGTCCCTTTTAGGATCTTTTTGATAAGGGTGCCGTATTATTGTGGGGACCTAAACAGGGACCCTGAGATAGAGACTTATCCTTTTGATCAAGACGGGGCCTTAGGTGTTACATTCTGAAACTACCGTTTTGCCTTCGTGCTTCTCCCGAATGCTCCCAACCTAAAAGGCCCTAAGCCCTACATCCGAAACCCTAAACTAAGCCCGTCAACATATACATATCATGTACATTCACGTATATTTCTATAGATGTATATATGTACATGTGTATATATATATATATAGAGCGTCTGAGGCCCGGAGCTACTGACACGACTTTTTCGCAAAGAATGCCCAATAGCCACAGACCGAAACTTCAGCCCGAAGCTGGAGACGTCGAAATCCAAGCATTACCGTAACCCTACCTGTTCAAAGGTCCCTTGCTTCTGGTTTCCTTATACAGGTCCGTAGAACGATGGGTTGTTGGGGGCTAAAGTGCGCCCTGAACCCGAAGGGGCCGTAGGCCCGAAACGCCCAAACCCTAAACCCTAAACCCCAGACCCTAGACCCTAAACCCTAAACCCTAAACCCAAATCGGGGCAGGATGAGCTCGTTCTACGCCACCGCAGTGCAGATG